AAGTTTTTCTCTGGTTCTTCAAGAAGAAAACTAAAAACCCATTGTTGTCGATCCCCCCATTCCTGAAGTTACATTTGCTGTTAAAACTGCCTCGATTTTCAAGAAATCTGGCCACAATGTAGTTACTGTAGCATGTTGGGCCATACCAAGGACAAATGCTACAAGCTCCATGGTTATCCCCCTATCTATCATGTTCACTCCAAGAATTCAAATGTCACTTATTCGAATGCTGTTGTTTCTTCTGATGAGTCTTCTCAGGCAATTTCTGGTGATTATTTGATAACAAAACAATGTCAACAACTCATTGTTATACTCACCAATCAACTTCAGTCTGCTTCAAATCTGGATCTCCCCTCTACATATGTTAATTTTTCGATGCAAGGCAAGCTCGTTTCTTATATCAATAGTTTGAGTATAGATTCAGGAGCTTTAAGATATGTGTGTTATATCAAAGATCTTTTTGATTCGTTGATTCTTATTTAGGGTGTCATGATACTTTTCCCTAATAACTCAATGGTTTCTGTTGCTTATTCTGGGAATATTTTTCTATCATATTCTTTGGTGCTCAAGAACGTTTTATATGTTCCTCAATTTCAGTTTAACCTGTTGGCGGTCATTGAATTGATTAAGGATTCTGATCTTTCTATTTTGTTTTGCAACGCTCAATGTTTGATTCAAGACCTATGCTATATGATTGGGAGGGGTGAGCTCTATCGAGGTCTCTACTTATTGCATATGCATATTATGCAAGGGCAAGAAGAATGTTGTTAATGATAAAATTGCTAGTAGTTCATTTGTTGTATCGACTTCTTGGCATGCTAGTCTTGACCATCCTAGTTCTCGAGTTTTACATGTTTTAAAAGATGTATTACTTTTTCATGATTCTAATAAAGTTGAGCCTTGTAAGATTTGCCCTCTTGCAAAACAACATCGATTACCTTTTTTACATTCATTTTCTCGTGATAATCATCCTTTTGATTTGGTGCACTGTGATATTTGGGGTGCGTATAAGACTGCCACGTATCACAATTAAAGATATTTTCTAACCTCAGTTGATGATCATACAAGGTGTATTTGGACTTATTTGTTGCATCATAAGTTAGAAGTTAGCTCTATTATTCCAAACTTCATAAAGACGATTAAAAGACAGTTTGGTTATGATTTGAAGGTATTTCGGTCTAATAATGCTCATGAGTTAAAATTCACTGATTTGTTTGCTTCCTTAGGGATTGTTCATCAATTCTCTTGTGTAGAAATTCCACAACATAATGTTATGGTTAAAATAAAACACCAGCATTTGTTGGCTGTTACTTGGGCTCTATATTTTCAGCCTAGTGTGCCTATCTATTTTTGGGGTGATTGTTTGCTCACTGCCATATATATCATCAATAAGCGGTATTCTCCTGTTTTGGATAACAAGACTCATTTTGAACTTTTGCACACTAATGCTTCAGAATATAAACATCTTAAGGTGTTTGGATGTTTATGTTTTGTCTCGACACTTCGAGCTCATCGAGACAAATTTTCAGAAAGAGCCTTGCCTGGTGTCTTTCTTGGTTATGTTGCTAGGATGAAAGGGTACAAGGTTTATGTTCTTAAGACCAAGTCCATTTTGGTATCCGAGATGTTTTGTTCTATGAGATGATTTTTTTGTTTCACACTATTTTTCCCTCTAGTCCTCTTATTGATCCCTTTTCTGAATTTTCTTTACCTTCTATCTTGATTGACACTTTAGGTTTGCATACTACTCCTGTCATCAATAATGATCCCATAAATCTTCAGTTCAACACATGGATGCAGACTCTTCCAGATCACAATCTCTTGATTTACAACAGAATGTAGTACATGAGCATCATGAGCACGAGTCTATTAAGTAGTTGTCTACCAAACCAGTTATTCAATCAGATATTAATTCGATTGTAAGGGATCCTCGAAGGTCTTCTCGAGTTCTTAATAATCCTTCATATCTCAAAGATTATTACTGCAACACTACTGCTTCTACTTCATGCATGTATCCTATTGAAGAGTATCTTTCTTCCACAAAGTTGTCTCCCTCCTATGCTGACTTTGTTGCAAATATCTCTTCATCGTATGAATCATCGTTCTATCACCAAGCTGTTCGATTTTCTGAATGGAGAAATACCATGCATAAGGAATTGAAAACTATGGATTTCCTTCAAACCTGGTATGTTGTCCCTCTACCTGATGGCAAACACCCAATTGATTGTAAATGGGTATACCACATCAAATATAATGTTAATGGCACCACTGACAGACATAAGGCACGTTTGGTGGCTAAAGGGTTTACATAAGTCGAGGGAATCAATTATTTAGACATGTTTTCTCCTTTAGCTAAAATGACTTCTTTCAAGGTCTTGTTGGCTTTAGTTGTTGCACATAATTGACATCTCCTTAAATTGGATGTAAAAAACACTTTCTTGAATGGAAAGCTTAATGAAGAGGTCTGCACGAGGCTCCTTCTTGGTTACAAGACAGAAGCGATAGGGTTGAATTTGGTTTGTAAAATTCACAAGTTAATTTACAGTCTTAAGCAGACTTTTCATCAATGGTTTCAAACCTTTTATTGTGTTGTGATTGGTCTTGCTTTTGCACATTCTCCTTCTGAGCATTCTTTGTTTGTTAAAGGGAATAGTGACGATACGATGGTTTTATTGGTCTACGTTGATGATATAATTCTTGCTGGAAAGAATTTATCATTGTTAGCTGATGCTCGTCAATCGCTTCAACAACACTTTAAACTTAAAGACTTAGGTCCTTTAAGATATCTTCTCAGCTTTGAGGTTGCTCAGAATGATTCAGTAATATCTCTGTCTCAAAGGCATTATGTTTTTCAAATCTTAGAGGACATTAGAACACTTTGTAAGAAGCATGCTGAATTACATATAGTGTCTCCTCATAAACTAAGCATTCATGAAGGCGAGTTATTGTCTAATCCTCAAATATATAGAAGTCTTGTTGTCCGGCTTCTTTATCTCACACATACGAGGCCTAACATCACCTCCACAATGCATTTGTTGAGCCAATTTGTTTCTTTTCCTTGTCAACCTCATCTGCGTGTTGTTTATCATCTCTTGTCATACATAAAGAATTCTCTAGGATTGGGACTATTTTTATCTTCAAAGTTCAACCTACAGATGAGTGCCTTTGTTGATACGGACTACAATTATTTTTTAAATACATGTCGGTCCACTTCTGGATTTTGCACCTACATTAGTGATAGCCTTGTTTCTTGGAAGTCAAAAAAATAACACATAGTTAGTCGTTTATCTTGTGAAGTTGAGTATAGGGCCATGATGTCAGCAACATGTGAACCGATTTAGATTGTAGCTTTGCTTTCTTCTTTCAACATTCATGTTCCGATTGCATTCTTTTATTGTGATAACCAGGATGTTGTTCACCTCGCCAACAATAAATTTTTTTATGAAAGAACCAAACACAATAAAGTGGATTGTCATTTTGTTCGAGAAAAGATTTGTGCTAGTTTTTTTAAATTGTTTCATGTTCGTTCCAATAGTCAACTTGTGGACACCTTCACCAAGCTTTTCATAATTTTGTAGCCAAGATGGGTCTTCTAAACATTCATCGCACTCCATCTTGAGGGGATGTTAAGGATGGTGGTTATTTAGTTCATATATTGTGTTATAGTTGGTTATTTAGTTAGGATTGCTAAGGTGCTATATATATGTACTTGTAAATACTCTTTGGTGCAATGAATAAAACGTCTTCATTCATAAATTCATTACAAAATGAATTAATGAACAAGTTTATTAATTAACTTGTTTGTAAACATAAAAAACATCAACATACTTCTATTCAAACTCGATCATTTTAATAAATATAATATTTTTATTCATACAATCATACTCTTTTGTTTAACTTAATACATAAGCAATATATCAATACTTCACGAATAATTCGTTGAACATTTTATTTACTTACAACCCTTAAACATATGTTTATGTATAATTAAAAAGCACAAAACCAAATATCTCTAAAGTCATTGAGAAGGTAAAACTGTCACTATCAAAATAATAGGTTTTCATTATTAAAAAACAATAACTAAATCTCATGATTTAAATGTTTTTTTATGAATATGTGTTTAGTCACCCCTATGATTTTAGATTTAGATGTAATTAAATAATTATAATATATTTTGAAAATTATCATAATTCGTGACTCTCAGAGTCTCGTTGAATTAAATGTAATTAAAGTCTCCAAATTATGCTTTTTATTTTTTTATGAATATATTTTTCTATAGGAACGATTTTTTTAATTAATCATTGGTATTCGATTTATTGACCGACTAATCCAGATCGGGTATTGCAAAGGCGAGGTCCCAACCCATTTTACTCCATTCGCAAACGCCAGGATTCGAACCCTTGACATTGCTTAAGGGATCTAGTATCTCATCCCACTAAACAAACTGGTTGTTGATAACTTCATGAGTTGCTAAATATGTATGTAAATTAATTGCATTTAGAAATAAGTTTTATCATGAATATAGATGACACCAATTTTATTTAAATTCATTTATTTAATAAATAAACATAACATCATATCATATTTTTATTATTTTTATGATATAATAATAATTTGTTTCTTTATAGAAGAATTCAGTTATCCAATTATTGTTATGATTAGATGAGCTCGCTTGGTTTGATAATAATGTAAAAAAGGTTAAAATTGATGTAATTTTTTAATATGAATGATTGAATTTATTAAATTGTTTTGAATTAAAAAGTGTGACTTTTGGGACTAAAAAATGTTATTATATTAATTAGCTGTTTATTTTATTTTTAAAAGAGTGATCTGTTTGTAATGATATCTAAATTGAGTGATATGGTCGTAATTTTTAGGGAAAGTGACCCATATTTACAAAATATATAATAGAGTGACTTGGAGAGTATTTTACCCTAGTGTTTTTCATTTGAGGATCGCCTCCTTCAAAGTCTATGATGGCTTTGGCGCATTTGTCCACTCCAGGACTAGTAAACCTGCATAGTATAGAGAATAAAATAAAGAAAAAGCCAATCATAATTGGGTAAAAAAGAAAAGAAAAACCCATCATCTTCGAGACAAGAATTACTTGAACTTTGAAGAAAAAATTAAAAAAAAAAAGATCTATTGATGAAAGGGAAGTGGAAGAGTTCAAACAGAAAGCTAGGGTTGCCAATTGCCCTTCTCTTGTGCTCACTCGCATTCCTCTCCGGCTTGTTTGTTCCCACCTTTTTCTTTCAGGTAACTTGTAAATTGCATTCACTTGATGTGTTTCTAATTTGGGTTTTGCGTTTAATTAGTGGGTTTTTTTACAGGATGCTCCGATCATTAGACCCAAGCCGAGAATGCTGGAGGTGGTGCATGAGAAGGAGTATCGTGATCCGATGCCAAATGGAGTAACTGGGGAAAGTTCGATTGAATCTATTCCCTTTCAGGTCATTTTCTCATCTTTTGTTTATAGCATTTCTTTTCCTGGTTATGTGCATTGAATTTTAAATGATGGCTTGAATTATTATACGAGTTTAGTCATTGTCATATTGGTGCCAAAGGTCTGGGTAAATCTAGAATGAAGCTTTCACTATGTAGTTTAGAGAATCCATGAATGAGAACATTCAAGTTTGCTTGTATTGGAGTTAAAATTTTATCCAATTTGTACCAACAACCCTTAAGCAAGGCCAACGGTTCAGATCCAGAGGATTGTGAATGGAGCAAATTGGGTTGGGAATGTCGCTCCCATATTGGGACTCTGCATTTCCTGATCCAACTTGGTCTATTAATAGATCTAATGCCAGTGATTATACCAATTGTTTTGTCTGGGCGTGTTTTCCAAGGTCTAAAGATGAGATTTCTAATATTAAAGAGATGCAATGACACAGAACAAGGATTTTAGCTGCAAATGTTTTACATAATTCAGTGATTGTGACTTGTGATATGCTAGGAACATGTTAAACTGCCCCAATGGACGGCATTGTTAAAACTGTCTGCTTCTCTTTGAATGCAGGTTTTAAGTTGGAAGCCACGAGCGTACTATTTTCCCAACTTTGCAACTTTGGAACAATGTGAACGTGTGATTGAAATGGCAAAGGTGAACCTTAAACCATCTGGTTTGGCTTTGCGCAAGGGAGAAACTGAAGAAAACACAAAAGGAACTAGAACAAGGTTCCCCTTTTTATGCAATAATTTCTTTTTTTATTATAATTTCTTGTTGCTTTCGAGTTTAGTGTTAAGTTATAAGTCAATGCTCCTATTAATTGATTCAAATTTGCATCAAAACCAGATATAGCCTTTGTGTTTGTGAATTGTTTGAAATACTGAATGCTGGTAGCTTCCTTTCTTGATGATGCTTGTGATGTTAATTTATATTTTCCTTGGAAACAGTTCGGGAACTTTTCTCAGTGCATCAGATGATGAAACTGGGACCTTGGACTTAATTGAGAAAAAAATTGCAAAGGTTACGAGCATCCCACAGAACCATGGAGAGGTACATTTTCTTTTCTTCTAATACTATTGTTATTATTATTATCTCATATTGTTTGTTATGTTAGTATCTACAACATTATTTGAGAATGTTTAAGCAAATATAGACATGGCGGACACTCTTCTGGTGGGTTGCTTTCTCCAGTTTCATTTATTCTTCCCATTTCATTTGGCTGCAAAATTAAGGGAATTATATAAATTTAAGGAAACTGTATGAAATGAACCATGGAGTATTGTGAATGAACCTTTGAAGAAATTTTTTTTTTTTTGATAGGAATTGTAGGCCTCATTAAAAACCCCCTTCTTGATTAAGGAACTTATAATGAGTTCCTTCATCAGAGGAAGGAGGAAAAGAGTGCCTTAAACTTCATTAATGATAATACCTAAGATTACAACAAGAAGAAGCCCCTTACAACAATTTGAAAAAACCCAAAATAAAATACCCCTAAGATACACTGGAATTAGCCAATGGCAGATTTAGCCATCCCATCAGCCTCAATATTGGCTGCCCTAGCAACCCATCTAATAACACCCTCAACTTCTTTTAGCTGATAGTTATGTCCTTACAAGACTGACAAAATCTGAGGGCAGAAAGTTCCATTCTTAACCCAATCCACGGCCAATTTGCAGTCTGATTCTAACAATAAACGACCATTAATACCTCCTTTCACTGAATCAAAGAAAATTAAGCCCTTCTGAATAGCCCTTAGCTCCATCATAATAGGTGGACCTGGACCCGTGGCCTCCTTAAAAGATCCTAGAATAAGACCTTCCTCATCTCTTAGAATACCCGCAACTCCACTGCTGTTCCAATCCGAATTTGTAGCAGCATCCACATTCAATTTTACAAAGCCCTTAGGAGGGGGGGACAAGGAACTGTAGTACCATCGATTTGTTGAGAGGGAGCATGAATCCCCAAGAGACGGGTCCCCGATTAGAGAATCCATTGAAATACCAGAATCTGCAAACTTAGCTGAGAACCAAGATGCAAGTCGTACTCTTGCTAAGAAAAATAGATTAGATGGTCAAACTTCCCTCTATCAAAACAATATCATTTCTTACCTTCCAAACAGTCCAAATAACAACGGATTTCTTACCTTCCAAACAGTCCAAATAACAACGGCAGGAATGAACTTCCAAATGGCAGACCTAGGATTAAGATCTTCCCAAGCTTGAAGAAACTTCTGCATTTGTATGAAAAACCACAAAAGACTCCAATACTGCACAATTTGTTCCAAAGTGACCACACAACTGAACACGAGAAAAATAAGTGAGAAGAAGATTCAACCTCCAAATTACATAAAGGACAAGAAGGATCTGTTATACCCGTAACCCCTCTCTTAACCAGTTCTGACCTCACTGGCATTTTTGAAGAACTACCTGCCACATGAATACCTCAACTCTTGTGGCACCAGACCTTTCCACACAAATTTCTTCCAAACATAATCCTCCTTCTGAGCCAAAGAACAAGTCTTCACACATGAATTAGCAGAATAGACACCAATTCCGTTTCCTTTCCAAATCAGACCATCGATTGCCTCTTTAGACAGATAAAAATTAGAAATGATAGCCATCAGGTTAGCCCACTGTTCAAATTCCAATCGGCTAAGCTTCTCCTCAACTGAAATTCCAGATCCATCCCAAAGAGCTGAACTCGCCAAATTCAATCAGTTTTCCAAGCTGGTTTGTAGAAATTGCGAACAACCTCGGAAAAGAAACCTTAAGAGGACAGTCCATTGCCCATTTGTCCTGCCAAACTGAATAAATTGACCATTCCCAACTTCTAGTCTGAACATGCTGCGAAAATAGCAACCAAAGAGTCTTCTTTAAAATAAGAATTCACCCGAGCTCCAAATCCAAGAAGCTTGAGCTGGGATTTTGCGATTGAACAATAAAGAAAAGGATCAATTGTATTTTGAACAGATCATTCTCCTCCAAACAGCATCCTTGTCATTTGCAAATCTCCAAGACCATTTCCCCAATAGTGCCCTGTTCATATTGCTAATATTTAACACTCCTAAACCACCACCTCCTTTGGCTTACACACGTTAAGCCAACTAACCCAATGAATCTTATTTTTCTCGCTCCTCCTCCCCCCAGAACTTAGACATGATTGAGTTGAGTTTAGAAGTTACGGATGATGGAATTTTGAATATACAAGTAGTAAGTAGGAAGAGAACAGAGAACCGATTTAATCAAAACTATCTCCCTGCCAAGGAAAGGGTGGCAGCTTTCCAACCTGCTAGTTTGTTGTTAAATTTTGAAACACTGGATCCCAGAGCGGTTGAATTCCGTGTTGCACCAAGAGCAAACCTAGGTAGTCAGAAGGAAATTTCCCCACTGCACAGCCAATAACGACGCCCACTCCTCCCTCCTCTGTAGCCGTATTAACACCAAATAGCTTGCTTTTCTTAAGATTCAACTGCAACCAGACATAACTTCAAACACTCTTAGACCCTTTAACATTTGAATTTCCATTTTCGAAGCCCCACAGAAAATAATTAGGTCGTCTGCAAATTGCAGATGAGATAAGTTGAAAGCAGTCTCATTCCTCCCAATATGCAGACCAGAAAACAGTCCATCAGAGACAGCCTTTAAGAGCAAAACATTTAGGAGTTCCCCAACTAAGTTAAAAGCAAGGGCGAAAGAGAACAGCCCTGGCGGAGACCCCTAGCCATAGGAAATTCCTGAGAAGGTACCCCATTATCAATACTGAAATAGAAGCAGTAGTAACACATTGTTTTATCCAACTTCTCCATTTAGAACCGAAACCCATTTTCTCCATAACCTTAAAAAGAATAGACCATCCACAGTGTCGTAAGCCCTTCTAAATCCACTTTAAACACACAACCTTTAAGTCCCTTTTTCCTCCAGAAATCAATCCCCTCATTGGCTATAAGAGAACAATCCAGAATTTGACGACCTGGAATGAAAGCAAACTGCATAGGGCTTATTACTCGGAAATGCAATTCCTTAATCTCCTCGAAGACATTTTGAGAGGATCTTGTACAAACCTCCTACAAGGCTTATAGGTCTATAGTCATCTAATCCACCAATATTGGCCACCTTGGGGATAAGTAATGAAAGTATGATTTACTCCAGTTCCCAATCTTTCCCTAAATAAAAGTTATGAAAGAATTTCAGATATCAACCTTAAGAATAACCCAAAATTTCTTGAAGAAGCCCATATTAAACCATCCGGGGCCGGGAGCTTTGTTGCTATCACATATTAAAACCATCCGGGCCGGGAGCTTTGTTGCTATCACATGATTGTAGAGTCTCCCATATTTCTTCCTCCGTGAATTCTTTTTCCAATATTACTTTGCTCCACTGAAATTTTTGAAAAATTCATCTTCATATCTTCTACTTCCAAAGTAGAACTAGAGTTGTAAATTCCAAAAAAATGGTCTTTGACACAAGCTTTGATGACAGATGGATCTTGGGTTATCCCTCCATTGACATTCAAAGCATACATGGAATTCTCTTTCTCCTAATCAACGCACAAGTATGAAAAAATCTTGTATTGCGGTCCCCTTCTTCCACCCATCTAGCTCTCGACTTTTGAAACCATATCTGTTCTTCAATCTTATACAACCTCCATAATTCTGATCTCATATGTTCAAATCTGATCCTCTGTCCCAACCATATGTACCTTGCCTCTGCTGCTGGTTTACCTCTTCCAAATGAATCCTCTTTTCTAAATCTGTAATCTCTACAGAAGGAAAATGGTCTCTCTTCCCCACCCATTGTTTGATCGACAGTTTAGTAGATTTCAGGATAGATAGAATTCCTGCTTCCTCTGATCAGACTTGCATTCTTTAACAGTAGACTCTACTAAGTTCTGGAAACCGTCCTCTTCCATCAAATAATTAAAGAGTTTGAAGGGTTTCTTCCCCAACTGACCCCCTCATTCTCCAGAAAAACAGCATTATGATCTGACACTGACCTTGGCAGCAAGTATTGTGTAACATCAGGAAATGCTTCTAGGAAATGAACATCAACGAGGAACCTGTCCAGTCTAACATAGGTGGGTAAATCCTGGTTGTTACACCAGTGAATCTGCCCCCATGTAAAGGTAAATCGATTAACCCTGTTTGTTGCAGAAACTGTCTGAAAATCCTTATTGAACTTCTGTTTGGAGCTCTCCCCACCTTTTCCTCTTCAGAGAGATGCACATTAAATCACCCCACACATAAAGGGATATTCAGTCCACAAATAAAAACAGCTAACTCTTCAAAGAAGCTTGCTTTTTTCTTCTTCAATACTAGGCCCATAACATTAATTATAAACCACACCTAAACTGTGAAGTTCGAAACTTTCCAAAACTGCAATAAACCTCCTGTTTATAATAAGATTGTCAACTTCAAAAGAGCACTCATCCCAGCAACTCAATAGCCCTCCAGCAGAACCCACTGCTGGAGATTCTGCAAAGCCTTGAAGAGTATCAACCACTTCTCCTTAAAAATTGTCTCTGAACCTTCTCCACTTTAGTTTCTTGCAATAGAAGAAAAATAGGACGTCTCTTTAAAACTAGATTTTGAACAGCTCTGTTTTTCCTTCCTTCCCAAGCCCCTAACGTTCCACGTAATAATGGCTAATTGAAACTTCATCATGATTCCAATAAGTAATAGAAAACCCAATAAGCACCGAAAATCAGACCAGCCTCAACTCCTCCTCCAACTTTATTATTTTCTCCAAAAGGCTGATTTCCCACCCTTGAAAGACACACCCAATCTATTACTAATTTCCCAAGTAGCTAGAGCTTCCTCCAAAAGAACAGCAAAATCTGAAGAAGAAACTGTTTCAATGCTAACTTGGTCCAAAGCAAGTCTGGTCAACAATCTTTTGGCTCTTCTATTAGAAGACTTAGAGTTGAAAGAATAACTATCTCCTTGTAAGTGCCACCCTTCACCCATACTTTCCAAAACTGTTATCAACAACATGCCTTTCCAAAGTAAGCCCATACAGCCTTCCAATTAGGTTCTGCAACTGCACTGACCAGCA